ATAGCTGAAGAAATGCTTACCCAAGTGATATCCTGCTGGGTCAGACAAGTACAGAGAGCCTTCATCTGGTATTTAGTCAGCATTGAGCTCTAAGTAACATTGGTTTTCTTTTGACTTGCACTGTCTAGGTCAGGAGTCTGATGCAATAGATTTGTAGATGTTTTCTTTAACATTTCCTTCACGTGTATTGTCATTTGGAGGTATTCAGGTCTCAGTAGTTTGGTTAAAACATTTTTTACTTTACCTTTCCATAAGAACCCTGTCCAAGCACTTTGAGCAGCTGGAACTGGGAGGGGTCTGCTTTCTCACAGCCTTCCTTAACATGGTGGCTGATGTCAATCTCCTTAAGTATACTGTCATCCTGGGGAAAGGAGAGACAGACATCGTTATTAGTTCATTATTTACGTAACTTAAAATAAAGAAAATTGCAGCAATACAGCAATATCTATCATGTTTCATCTGTATCAATGTAACAACCACCAAAAATAACTTAAATCCCTCTTATAAATACATGAAAGACCGATGGTTATTCAGTTATTAAAGTATTAAGCCATTATGTTATTGCTGGAATGGTACAGCTGAGGTCACTGGTAGAGATCGATAGTATAAGCTGCCTTTTTCATCCTATTCATTCTGCTCAGTGAAGCAAATGATCAACTTCCAACCTGAGGCATGACTTGTCAGTGTGACAATAAACTAATTCTCTTACGTTGTCATTTAGAAGTTAAGAGCTTTATATCCCACTTTCAATCAAGTTTGAAATGCAAACAGGAGTTAGTAGAACTAGAAAGATTAAAGTTAGTAAATTGTTTTTGTCTCTCAGCTTGACAGGGTTGATCGTTTTAAAAAAATGTTTTTATTGAATCCGGGGTTAGTGCTTTCCCATTTGATACGTCTGTTTAACTTAACACGCACTTGGTTAAAAAATGTAAAAGGCTGGCAGATTTCTTTCTGCAAACGTTGATATAAAGAGTTCCCTATTCTGATGTTTTTGATGCGGTTCCATCTTTTTAACACAATCACAGAAGTACATCAGTTTTAAGATGATCAAATATGGTTTGTAGTTTAGCCAAAGCTTTAATGAAGTACATGTTTTATACTTTGTAAAATGATGGGATATTTCAAAAGCTTATTTCTCTAAATGTACACATTTATTGTGGTTTGTAGAATTGTTGCCTTCCTGTGCCAGAACACAATGAGGCCTTTTTTGTGAGGATTAAATCAGTACGAAGGTTTGTATTTGGAATTAGAGTAATTAATATCTGAATCTCAGATTCCATATAAAAGCTAAAATATGATAACATGTTCAGTAAAGATGTGCTTTTGGTAAAATTGCCATTTCTAATATAATTATCTAACAATTCTCTGTAGTGTGATAGTCTGTGAGTAAAACAGCACTTTGTTTATAGTTTACCCACATCGAAAGCTTGCCAAAAAATATTTTTTATTATGTCTCAACTTCAGCCTTTGGATATTTGTGTTATAACAACAATATCGCAATCAAGGTTCAAGGCTTTTATTGGTCATACGTACATGTACAGTGTACAGTAGTTATGACATGAAAATGTTAGGTCACAGGCTCCTCCAACAGTGCAACACAATAAAACAGAAAAACAAGTAGTGCAATAAGAGTCTATATACAAGTGATTGGAATATGATATATTAGATAAATAATTTCTAAGTTGCAGCCAGATTAATGTTATGGATGTTGTTTCAAAAGTTCAGGTGTTTAATAGTCTTATGGCCTGTGGGATGAAACTGTCCAGAAGGAGAGATAGTTCAAATTGTTCGAGCATTCCAGCCCTCTTGGCAATTATTTTATAAAACAGAGGGGTTGCACTTTAAATCCTAAGGGAGTCATTCTTAGTGTGACAGGGAAAAAACAAACCTGTCAGCATATCAACAGTGCGATATCAATGGTTCTTCTTTCACAATATCTCACACTTTGACTTGACATTAATTGGTTTCAATGCCCTGTTGCACTTATAATCTGAAGCATATATTATTATAGTATGTGGAACTCAAATTATGAGTATTTTATGAGAGACAATACAACATGCTTACAGTTTATTATGTGTTTTGGAGCTCAAAGATGATGAGATGGTTCTGTCCGAACCACCGAGCATGTGAGTTTCTTTAAGTGTAACACAACATAATGCATAAAAGTTCTTTGTACAATGAAATTATACATTTAAGTCAAGCATAGTATAACAACTGCTATCACCTGCTGTAATATCAATGAATTGGAATTGGCTTGAAGTTTAACACGTTGTAGCCAGTAGCAATTTCCCCCTTTGTGATTCATTTGTTATTTATTCTTTAAATAGGAGGAGTGATGCCTGTCAACCAGAAGGAAACGGGTTCAAGGCGTCAGCCCCCTGAGATCCTGATCAGTAGCTGACCCTGAACTCTGACCTTCCCATGAAGGAGAGGAAAGTGAAAGCGATCTTCCCCACATGGAGCATCAGAGCATCACGTTAAAGATGTGGACAGGCAGACAAACAGGTAACAAACACAGACATTTGCCAGCCAGAAAGACTAACAATCACACATCACAAGTAAATAGCCTGTCAAGATGATTTTTCAGCACTCGGTCACAACTACAAGGACCATGGAGGGGAAGACTTCTATTTATATCTCAGACTAACAGGTAGATGTGCTGCAAACAGCATACTGCCTCTCTCTCTTCCCTGCTGGTTTGTTTGGGCTATAAATAGACCACTGAATCAATCTGTCTCTATCCATTTATCTATCAACCTGCCTGCTCGACTGCTTGTTTGCGTTTTTGTCTTTCCGTGTAGCCTGTCTCTCTGCCAGTCAAAACACAGTGTCTCTCTGCCCATCTGTTTTCTGGGTTACTGACAGACAGGCAGAGGAACTGCTGTAACGATGCTGCATGACGGCTGAACCACCCCACAACAAACCAAATAACACACATTCTTCCCACACCCTTTCCCATGTGCTCACAACCTTCACACGCATCCTTATCTACTGTTGATATGAGACGGCTGCTGTTATGGCCCGAATATTCACACAAACGCACACGGTGCAACTGTGACGCAATCCCCCCCCCCGCAGATTTGCACACATGCACTGATCTGTAGTTGATGGAAGTTTGTGCTGCTCTTGTTTGGCTCACCTCTAGCTGACAGAAGCCAGTGTTGTTCTTGTTCCTCTCGCCTTGTTCTTCAGGTAGATAGAAAACCATCTCCGCACTGTGAATTTTCGCGTGCTGGTATCCATGGCAACGGGCAAACCTTTGCATCTATCCCATAATTATGAACATCTCCCCGCAGGGTGGGGGGGGTCCTAAAGTAGAGATGCAGGGACAGAGCTTTTATATATATATAATATATATATATATATATCTTATAGTTATCTATTTATCCCGCAGTTCATCCATGTGCGCGTCCTCAATGCAGTCGTCCCTCTTTAGTGTTCCCATCATGCACGCTTGCTGTTCGTCTCTCTGAATGTCGTGTCCCCCCCCTCCGTCTCTCAGACGCAGTGTACGCCAGTAAGCACGCAGACAGAGTTGTAACAGAGCCGTTAATCTGCGCAGACAGACAGACAGAGAGACAGACAGGTTGACGGCCGGGGCAGGTGCGGCTGGGCTTGGGATTGTCTTGTGTTTTGCAGCCGGCTGCCTGAGGTGACGAATAAATCTGTTCCGGTGAATCACGAGAAGTGTGTGTGAGCTCCCTCTTCACATCCCTGCTTGTGCATGTGTGTGTGTGTTCATCCCCTGCTGCCTCCCTCCCTGTCTCTCTCTCCCTCTCTCTCTCGCACTCTGCAGAAGGGATTGTCACCAGTCACATTGTGTGCCGGCAAGCTCCTGACCCCCCCCTCCCTTATCCTCCCCTATTCCTGCCCCTCACCTCCCTCCCTGTTTCTCCCACCAGCATACAGCAACAGCTGGTGAAGTCACATGGTGTTACTCAGCTACTACTCTCTCTGTCTGTCTCTCTCTCTCCTCTTCCTTCTCTTTAGCTCCTGCCTGACATCCAATAAGACACATAGACAGAATTAAAAAACGATGACAACGTGAAAGTAGAATGCAAGCAGCAGAGGTTTGTGGGGAATACTGTGGCTCAGATTCAGTGACATCACATGGGAATTTAATGTAAGGACAGCAATCGATGTTGCAGTCAATAATGATGACAAATTCCAGGACATTACATCGTGGTCCAGTTGATCACTTGGCGTGTGTGTGTGTGTGTGTGTGTGTATGTGTAGGTACTTGGATCTGTCACATCAGCAGCTTTGCAGAACTGCAGTGTTATATAAGCAGGGAGGGAGAGGGAGGGAAATGGAGACCAAGTTAAGTGAAGGGGGGCATGGTGGGGTTTTAGATTAAGAAGCAAGGGGTAAAGTCAGGACTGCTGTTCTACCTGGATCAAGTGTCCGTCGCTGAAGTGGGATTTATTTATTCCTAAAAAAAGATTTTATATTCTCCAGCCATGGTAACTCGCATAGAGCGCTCAAACTGTGATCCCTAAACTTGGAACGCCAGTAAAACAGAGCTCATAGAGCTTTTTTCATGAGCTTGACAGGATTTGGACCACTTTTAGAATATAGCTGGGACATAGTGTGAGGACATTTTGGCACTATTGAATATGTAATCAGATGTGTTCAGTCAATCTGCTGTGATGTGTTGTGGGAGGGATCCAGGATTATGGACTGGTGTCTTTGTCCGGGAGGATTAAGGCTCTGTAAGGAGATCACAACATTAATATTCATACACACTGAGTAGATGTGGACAGAGATGGAGAGACATAGTATTTTACTTTACTATATTATACTACTGTACATGCACAGACAGAAATACATTTGGACCCTAAATTAAGCTAACTTCAAACTATCCTGACACCACTCTTTTCGAACAGATGGTCCTTTAGAGTATATTCATTCACGTCGCTCTACAATCAATCACATTAGTTCAAAATGCAAATAGCTGCACTTTAATCAATATGGCAAGTTATATAATGAGAGACATTGACTAGATATTGAATGTTTTATTGACATTAAAACAATGGAAGTACAAATGTTCATTTCAGTAGTTACTTGGCACCACAGCATTTGTCTACTGTAGCTGTCAATTATAATCATTATTTTGCCTTTTAACTTACACTGAATTGATTTATACATGCACAAGAGTAGCCATAGCCAAACAGGAAAAATAGAAACAAGCCATTGTACAAACATGTGGGGGATTCAAGTGTTTAGAAAAATATTTGCAACAACTATTTTATCTCTACAGGCCTAGAGCTTAAATATTTGCAACAACTATTTTATCTCTACAGGCCTAGAGCTTGTGTGACACAAATGGTGCATAATAACCTTGTATGACATCTTATTTAAATTATTGTTTATAGTGTACTTTGAGGTTGTTAACTCATATTAACGTACAATAACAATGTAAAAGAAACAAAAGCATTTAATTTACACATAATATATTCTTTTTTGAACACATTTTATTTGTACTTTTTAATCCATACATAATGTTTAGGCTATTTTTTTCAAGTTCTCTATATGAGTAGCAGTCCTTAATATCAATAGACAGGCCTATAACAAAACACTGAATAATGATGTATGTACTAGGCAAACTTCAAAAGGTAGCAATAACTACCACACGTTTATAATGACTAAAAAACGACCACCTTTGCCCCCAAAGCCATTTACAATGTGCACGTGACCCTATAATATTTGGGTAGTGATTTAACAATAAGAAAACCAAGCTATTTTCAGGATGATGCATTGGATGAATTCACTTATCATAGCAATAATCAAGAGGCACATAAACACACAAATGTGGTATAAAATATTCCCAGTCCTTAAAAGATTATGTACGAAAGATTGACATATAACCTACCGATAACATAGACCAAGAGTCACCTGCAAATCTGATGTAAGGCTCCATTCATTCGCCAACAAGATGTCATATATTAACTGTCCAATCTGCCCACCCACCTGACCTAAACTCACCACAATGCCCCCTGTTGAGGCGTGGAAAGAAACATGCTGTGCACTATATCGGATTCATCTACCAGCAGCTGTCAGGAAGGCACTTAATTCCATTAAAGCACTACTTGGTAGCGGCGTGAGTTTCCTGGAGCAAAGTAACTGTCCCCACAAGCATTTAAATGCAGTAAAAAAATGTTGTGCGCAAATGCCAAATCACAGTACAGTTGATTTGTTTAATGTGAGTCTGTGTGTGTGCGCGTGTGTGTGTGTGTGTATTTAGGGTTGTAGTGTGCTGTTCGGTTTCGGTCGTATGTTCTTTTATGAAGGTGTTGGGTAGTAAACGGGCACATCCTGGTCACACACACTGAACCCAGATGTCTTGTCGACTGCGATGTGATTGTCCAAGTGTCCCTTAGGTGTTGTTGTTAAATGTTTCTCACAGTCCAGGAGGGTGAAGTCAGAGTGGAAGCAGATCTCAATCTGCCCCAAAATCTGAAAACCTGCATTCTGCAAAACACAAAAACACACAATTTGACAATCTAAAAGACTTTCAGTCTGCATTTGAATCATATTTTAAACACACAAAAGATGCACATTAATATTCCTATAAAAGGACCATGCAAAACTAGACAGAAAGTTGATAGCATTATTTGAATAATATAATGTGTTATACCTTTGACGGATGGACACATTGGATCTTAGGCTTGACGCTGTAGAAGTTCTCTATGACTCCTTCAATTTGTGAAAGCTACGCACAGACACATTAGAAGAAGAGGGAAAGGGAAAAGTGAGAGACAGTCTTATTACAGACTATAAGGCATTTTCATGAGATTTTTATATACCATTATTTGAGGTTAAAATATAAATAGACCTACTTTGTAGTAATTTTCTGAAGGGATGATGTCAAACTTCGTCAGGATGCTACAATAACAGAAACAAAGATATATTTATAACTTTGAGGTTTATGCTTTGATCCACAATGACTTAAAATAAGATTGCAACAGTTGACTTTGCTTCTGAAGAGAAATGTGTATGTGTGTATGCATGTGCAAATGTGAGGGTGTGAATGTGCTGTACCTGTCCAAATCCAGTTTATGGTATAGTTCCAGGGCCTTGCTGAAGTATTTATGTTGGCTATCCAGAGACTCTGCCTTGGCTGCACATGTACCATGTTTGTGCCACTCATACTTCCTGTGGAAACAGACAAACAAACAAACAAGTATTAATAGGTTTTCCAATGATCGTGTACAAAGAGATGCAAGGAATATCGTACTTGATAATAATCATTTCAATATGCTTAATTTTTAAGACAAATATTTCCTGTAGTCACAGTTAGTAAACAATAAATATAATGTGAGCACAGTGTGTTTTTGAACAAGTGTTAACTATAAACGTTATGTGATATATGCATTAAGCTGCATTTTATAGTTTATTCCCAACTTTAAAGAGAGTTGAATATGCTATAACGGAAATGTCCATATATTGCTGTCACAGGACACACTGACAGAAACAAGATGCATGTAGCTAATTAGAAGCCAACTGAAGTTTTTTTAGCCTCTGAAGTTAATATTCAGGATACGATTTTTAAATTGGTTTGTCTGCAAATAAGCTAATATGATCACAAACTGCGTTAAGATTCAACACTTGAGAGTATTGACAGCATATGAGTTGCATATCCAAATTAATTTGAGGATGCATTGAAAAATTAGACAACCCGACAAACAATGCATCTCCAATACTGATGTGGTAGAAGTACAGTGCTATAGTTTATTATACGAGAATACACCCAACTAAAAAGTATCAGACAGATTGACAGAAACATAATTGAAGGATTAATTGATGAAATACCAGAATCCAGTAGACATGGGGCTCAACAAGTCTGGCCAACTCTTCTTCATGTCTGGAAGCAGGTCCTATAACACACAGCAAACATATTTATGTATATATTAATACACAAGCTAGAGAAAGGAAAGACAAAACAATCCTTTATTTCCCTTCCTAAATTTGGCTAAGCTAGATCTTACTGTTTTGTTGTTGTGTGTTTTAGAGTTTTTATTTTATTTTATGAGGCACTAACTAGTATTCCCCTGTTTCTTCTTTGACCTTGGATGCATACCTTTGTGTTTGTTCTTCTTGATACAACCTCAGTAACTAATAGTTTACAAAAATAATATATTAAATGCTTTCATGAATTTTGCAGCAGTTTTAAGGGCGCAGTCAGCCTAAACAATGTTATACCTCTATTTCAGAAGAGTTGAAATGCCATGATGAATTGCAGTCAATCCCTTTATCTGGCCTGGAAAATAGAAGGATTCACAAACACAGAGAAAGAGGGAAGAAGAGAGAGAAAGACAGATTGAGAGACGGTTAAAACAGGTTTTACAACATGGCAGCAATGACTTTTCAAAGAGCTGTTTCCCATGCGTTGCATTTCTTCCCCAAAATACTGCCCGACTAGATGTGCTTCCTCTTGCCACTTTCCTAAATAGGTCAGTAGCAAATGTGTAATACATTCCTTCACTACTTTTTCAAGCACAAATTTGTATAGTGTATATATTTATATGTTGTAAAAGCAAACATTTGCAGACAGGAAATGTATTCCTAACAAGTTAATCAGAAATCTGACATGCTGATACATGAAGAACACACTTTTCTTTTCTGATTAATAACCACACACATGCATACCAGAGTCCATGTAGCGTCCAGTAGCTGATGTTGGGATGACAGACTGGGTGTTCCATCTGAAATGTATTAAAAAAAAGGGGTTTTGTTATTCCATCAAGACACATACATTTAACTCGTAATTGTATTTTTAACAATAACCATTAGGTAATACTCAAATAGCATTAAGCATCGCAACCTCCATAAATAAGCAAAAAAGGTTGAAAGAAACGCAGAGATAATTATTGAAAGTAGCTCCTAGGACTGCCACTAATGATTATATATAATTAAAACAATTTTTCATTCTTAGATCAAACAGTTAGTTCATTATTTGTCAGTATCACAAGCAATTATTTACTGTTTGGAGTTTTGAGCACTTAATGAAATAAACATTGGTAAAAAGATACAGCAAGACTTTTATGAGATTTATATTTTCAACCACCCAAAATTAAATTAAAAGATCTTCCTTTAACCACTAAGCAAAGTCACACTGTTGATTTTAAAGGGGGAATGCAGCAAGGATGAAGTTAAGATCTCCCCAGTTTAATCTTGATTACATTTCTAAAAATGTACACCAAGGTCATTAAGCAAAATGACACCCAGAGCAAATAAATGGAAAACTAAACTCCCAAAATCACGTTGGCAAACCTTTGCAGACACGCTCACAGCTAAGCATATGATACAAAACCACATGTGACTCATGTTTGAATCAGAGAGCTTCTTAAGAAAACAGAAAAAGAAAGTAAACGAATGCAAAGAAAGCACAAAAATAAGGGAACTGCATCCTCCTGTGTTAAACAGTGTATTGCCGAATCAACCTGATTGTTGACACACAGTGTCTCATGACTCAGACATCACATGATATTTAGGGATTACATGTTGACAGTCTAGGGCAATGTAAGAGTGCAACATTTTCTTAAGATGGCATACCATGTTATAAATCAATAAAAGATAAAGTTATTGGTTGACTAAAATCGCTATATTTGAAAACACACTAAAGTTTAGTTATTTTGCACTTGAGGACAGTGACAACCAAAGTAGGACTAATCAACCACAGACTGCTGACAGTGTAGATGCTTTTAAAGATGAACTGAAAACCCTTTTCTCATGCACACATACTTAGGTCGGTAACATCCCCTTGTTGCTTTGCAGAATGACATAAGAATGTGTGTTAAGAGTAAAATCTGAATCTGGTCCAATTATTCACCCCCCTTTTTACTTGTCTAAACAAGAAAAGCAAATGTTTTATTTGCTATTCGAGCCTCTTACTGTAAGCATCAATTGTAATAACTACACCTGTGCTTTTTCTTACTTGATATGCCAAAATGTGGTTTCCAACAGCCCTGTTATATTTTTTAAGTGTTGAAATCTAAATAATAAATAAATAAAGGCAAAAAGAAACTCACACCACAGAAGGTGCTTGGCCAGTGGTGAGTCAGGATCAGTTTGGTCCACATATGTCTGAAATACACACACATACATTAATTTATTAGTGAAGTCGATTGTGTTTATTATTTACAGAACCAAAAGGAAACATCATCATTATATGTAGTTATTAAAGCAAAGATTCCCGTCTCATTAGAGCTAATTTGTGTTGCTTTACTTACGGAGGGGAAATCACATAGGAGGATGACAGGTATGCTGCCAGGCAGAGCAGAAGAAGGGAGCAGAGCCTCATGTCTGACCTAAAGGAAGAAAATACATTTGTCAATTAACTGCTGCTTTGAAGCAGAACTCAGCAGTATTGAAAATGTGAACATCCCCAGGTTTCTATAACACTTCATTAATACAACATTGAAACGAAAAACCAGTGTTGATTTGGTAAAACAAACAAAAAAAGACATGATGGTGACTGTGTCAAATTCAAATGCTTTATGATTATATGCACAATAGCTCCAGAGTAGTTTTGGCAATAAAAACTCAAGTTCGAGACCCTACCAACGATGCAACAAATAACATACTTACAGTAAGACATACAAATAAATAAATAAATAAAATTGTGCAATATTCCCAATTGATGCATTATTAAAAAGAACATTTCTATAATATAGATTAAGAGTGAAAGCTTGTATCCAATTGCAACAATTGTAGATTAAACCAGAGTGAACCTGTGTAATATTATTACACTCTGCAGGAACATCATGCTCACAGTTACTGACAGAGGAGAAAAACAGGTAGTGGTTTTAACTGCGGGAAGTGAGTGGTAATAAAGACTACTTGTGGCAAGGTAATTAAGCAATCAAAATGAATCTTTAACTACGCATTTCCCCCTCAGATACACACACTATAAGAATAATTCTCTACGCATATGTCCAGGGCCAGTTTAGCAAACATTTGGCCAAATAGATGAAATGATATGAGAAATGATCCAACAGCAGCGTTTCTAACAGGATCCGTAAAATTGTGCTCAAATCTTTGTTGTGCTGAAGTTCCCACTCTTATGATAAAATAGTCCAGCTTGAGACATTACAACACCAAGAGTTTTCTGAGAAACGTGACACACTTCAGGCAACAAAGACAGCAACAATGTAAACGAGACTTGCAACACAGCAGCACACTGTGTGACATTAACAGGATACACACTCGGAATGAAAATATGGGGCCAACTTTTAAGTATATTTGCAAGCAGGCACAACAACTTCAAACATGTCTCTATAGTTAAAAATAACTAACATTAACTTAGTCTTAAACTACAATGCGTAACTTAACGTGTAAACCAACTAAATCAAGCCTAAACTAGGAAAACATTTCGGCAATAGGACGTTCAACTTTAGTCAATTCACGTCAAAAATAATCCTCATCCTGAGCAGCGATCTTTAGTTTTAACAGCGATCTTCAGTTTGAACGGAAACACGTAGGATTAAACACATGTAATGTTAAAATGTGATCTCACCTTGGGCCGGTAACGTTGCAATAGACTTTTATGGAAGTTAACTTTGCGCCGCCCTGTTAATAAGTCAGGAAACTTGACTAGGTTGGAGCATAATAGAGTACAAGGGAACAGTCTGTTGTTTATGTCCCGAAGCCGCTTCGCTACCTGCCTGCTCAGCCAATCAGGAGCGCCGTAAACGTCATGCCTCGTCACGTGCTAGAGTGAGTGGCTTCATTTATTGTCCGGCCCTCACCGGCGGCTCCTTGTCCAAAGCCCTTGCGGTGATGTTTGAAACAAGGTACGCTGATGTGACAGTTTACAATCTTTTTTAAAGACATCTAGCACAGCAGTGTACAATATAAACACTTATAATTATAGTTTAAGGAGTGTTCTGGTCACGTGTTACAGAGGGAAAATATTATAATAATAATATAATCACGCAAATGTTAGTTAGGCCTATCTAACAAAGCTGCAAAGCTGCATGATGATAAAGTTAATATTTGACATAGCCTACCAGATGGAAGCCGTCAGTGAACATTTGGTCATTTGGAAGCAGTGTCCATGATATATGTGTACGTACTGTCAGTTTGGCCATTCTTTAAAAAAAGGACCTAATTAATCTGTGCTCAGTAGGCCTATTATATAAATAGGTGTTCAAAAACCAAATCACACAACATTTTTTAATGGATAATATAATTTTTAACAGGGACCTAATAGAAGGGATGTGACAAATGATTACGTTTACATCATACGATTTATGCATTAATGTCTTTACAGCTGCTTCGGTTTTTGGCAAGCTGCCACCTTCTATGTCTCTAAACACAACATAAATCATGTGACCCAGACTGGCAGGTGGTCAGATCCTGGTCAATCCAAGATCAAAATGCAATATGCCTTTAAATAAACCTTATGTGTTTTCATTTATACATAAATATTGACTTGGACGTCACATTTCCCTTTGTAAATTGCTCTGCACTAACGACTCATAATTTAGAGTTAATTGGACAGGCCTGATTTATTAAATATAATGCCCAGGGGTTTATTTTTAAATGACTCATTATAAGGCAATGTGTAAAATTAAGTACGTCAGGAGACTTAAAGTGAGAGAATAATTCATAATATATTTATGTCTGTGACTCCAGGGAGTTTAATTTTAAAAGTGTCGCCAGGAATAATAAAAACGTATAAAATATCCTACTGAGAGAAGGAGAGACTGATCAAGCAAAACGGTACACATTTTACCAATCTAAAGTATATATATTTAAGGCTATTTCTTAATCATTTGACTTGGTTGAACCCCTGGCTTACTAATGTCTTACTGTCAGCCAACAACATAATGCACTCAAATTATCACTGGGATTAGGTGTCAGAGTGTAATACCACATGGCCAACAGAGGGCTCTTTCTGACCACAGACAGGCACCCTTCCTGTTTTTAGCACACACAAACAAAGCAGTAGACAAACCTTACAGAAACACCACACATCCTACATGGACTGACTGAAAGCTATAAACATTTTGTCTGTGGAACACATACAAAATGTATTTGGGCATATACACCATGTATAGTTAAGTCATGTGTCTCTATAGATTTCTTACTGCAGGATCCTGTTGACTTCTGACCAAACGTATTGTCTACAGTTTAAACTGTTTCTATTTACTTCATATTTATATCTTTTTAAACCATATCATTTGCATATAGGGCATTTGAAATGTAATATTTGATTAAATGGTTAGGTTTCGACCCTGTGAGTATGAAAACACATGGTACACCACTCAAACAATACACACTGTTGTCAAAGCCCCATCCGGCCCCCCTCCCTCTCCTTTCTGCCCTTTAAATGTAACTCCCATGTTGTCCCATCATATGATTTTGCCTCAGATGTGAAATGTGTTCACAGCCCCTTCACTGTGTCAGGAATAGTCTTGCTGTAACTGTAGCTAGTTTTATAAATAGGCCCTGGCCAAAGTTCAGTATGCGGCAAAGTGTCTCGAGACTTTTGCAGATGAGAAAGATCTTAAGAGAGGGACTTAACTACTGTTTGAAGTTATCTAGTACACTTTAATGTTCGTATGAAACTGCTGAATTGCTGAATTGCTGAAACTGAACTGAATTGAAAATGTTATTTTTAGAATTTTTAAAGGTGCCTGTTATGTTGTTTTTATCTTTTAACAGATAACCATTCTGGTATGGAAGAATGAAAATGAACAGCCAAGTCCAACATATCGCTGCCTATTCTGAAGAGCTAAAAATCATTCTTTCCCCGATTACAGATTCTCTGCATTGTCTAGAAGAGCTGGTATACCTGAATTACCAAATGTTAAGCCTCAGTTGTTGAGCTAGTGTGTCAATAAACAGCTATTGGGCAAAGCACTTAAAACTGTAATGGGCAAACTCTGTTAATTTAATAGTTGACTGGTTCTAGTGGCCCTAAGTCTTGAAGGATACTGGTTATATATAGGCAGCTCTCTTTCCTTATAAGGCCTCAGGCAGAGGCAGGTGGGGGTCGGTTAGAGACGGCTGATGGTTTTCTTTGGCCTGGTACTTGGTTTAGGCTGACTCCCTGTGGATTCAGGCTGACAACTGAAGTCGCTGCAAAGAAAATCTCAAGGGGTAAGACAACTATAATTTCACGCTCCTTTTGTTTCTAACACCCTTGTATCTTCATCTTTAAATCTGATTTTGTGTGAAACCCAATCGAGCAGGTGGGATCAGTTGGGTGGAGGAATAGAAATACCAGATAAGGGTACAACCAAGAGATGTTGCATGGCCCTTAACAAGAGCTGAGGATTTACAATGTAATGCATGGTAGAACATATGAATAATGAAGGTTAATTAGGTGCTGAAATGTAATCTTAATATATAAATGACCCACTGTTTTGACGATAGTTGCCTAGTTTGAGACAGGACAATTATACAGCTGGTCTCTGTGTGTTATCATAGTTGGAATCCTAATTGGTTAAAATGGACTCCCACTGGAGAGTCAAATTTGGGGGAACACTTGGGATCATTGCTTCAGTGCAGAAATAGCTTGTGTGTTGCTCTGGGACTCAATATGTGGACATTACTTTGATCATTTCAAAATGAAGGAACTCAAATACAAACAAGCCATTATTGTTTCATTGTATTGCAATTGCCACTAGTGAGCACACAGCAAGTATTTGTAACGAAACACCAACCGTTTATGACCAAGCTGCAGAATATCAGAGGTTTTATGGTTTTGGTTGAGAATTTTAGAGGTTTCCTGTTACAGATGCAGAGACTCAGGTGTCATTTCACAGGCATTTGTACTGATTCAGTATGTCGGACTAGAACATGACTTGCCTGCTTTGAAAACTCATGTGGGGACAGTTGAGTTTAATGCTGATTTTCTTTGGAAACACAATGTCTTCCTAAATCTGCTGATTTCATCAGATTATTTGGAGTAAAGCTCTAGAAGGGGATCTTCACTTACTTTACTTAAAGGGAAAATTCCACCATCTCTATCTTATATGTGAATGTCCAGTTTGTGTTAATGATAAATGTATTCATTTTAAGCAATGAATCAATATGTGTCATATTGACCAATTAAAGCTGAGTTTGCAGCTGCAAAATCTGTTGTTCCTCTTGCATCAAGCAGTGTCATTTGACGTGGCATAGTTAAAAGGTGAATTTTAGTCTCCACCTCTGGATAGCCTGAGGGTGCAGGTGCTCAAAATCAGAACTTCCTATTTCTTTTTGCTTGTATTGCAAACTAGCTACATTTCCAACCAAATCCCCAAATATGGGTGCAGAGTCTGTTTTTGGGAGAGGACACATTTTACAGGGTTTCACAGCTGTATTTATTTGGGCTAGTGGATATGGTCAAAAATTGCTGAGGAAAGAGGCTAAGTCAGCTGGTGCATTAGCAGTGCAAGAGGAAGTGAGCGGCCGTGACACTTTGGGCATCAGAAACAATGCTTCCTGATACATGAAGGCACTTTTTCTTGGTCAATATAATTATGCACTGGTGATTTTATTGACATTTGCCATCAACACCGATTGGACATAAAAGCTGGCAAAGTGGTAAAGTGTTTGGCAGGCTGGTTCACTGACCCTTAAGTAACTTTGTGGCTTATCCATTACTACAGCTACATTATTTAACTGTTTTTATTTTCTTCAGGGGACATGTGTCCATCTAATTGACGTGATGCTTGATTGTCAGTTTTTGAGCTAGACGTGACTTAAACATGCAAGGCAAGTGTTTCAGAAAAAAGCAGAAGGGAAAGTCTTTGCCAGTAGATCATGTCTCAGTAGCTTTCAGGGTGAGGTTGGGCAGGGAGAATCGCTTCATGTTTCATCTGACCTTATTTATAGTCTCTGAGGACTTAGTGACGTAAGGAAATTATGTTCCACCGCCGTGTGATGTAAGACAAAGTTATGTTCCTGCTTTGGTATGCGTACTGTAAAAAGTGTCCATGTCTGATGTTATTGTTTATGCCACGTGATATGTGTGTCAGTGTTTCCCCTACTTAATTTATTTGTTTTAAAAAGTATTTATGCCATTTTATATCACAGGATATGACATGTGCCCAATAGAAAAGCTTTTATGATAATGCCTATTATTTTACGCTCACATTGAGTAACATTTTAATGTTTATTTTAGTATTGTGTCAATCTCTTGACACAATTGTTTATTATATGTAAAATATGGGTATTCACAGTTCACCAATGTGTCTAAAATTGTAATACATATAGTATTATGTGCTCTGAATTTGGATTTGTCAAATTGTTAGACAGTCTTTGGTGCAGCTGTACTGTCAGTTACTCATTAACTTTTGTTTTCTTGGTGAACACATGTGTCTGTGAACAGTGTTTTAAATCAATGTGTCACCTTGTCATTCCTGAAACTGACAGTAAAAGGTGTGTGTGTGTGTGTGGTGTGTGTGTGTGTGTGTGTGTGTGTGTGTGTGTGTGTGTGTGGTGTGTGTGTGTGTGTGTGTGTGTGTGTGTGTGTGTGTGGTGTGTGTGTGTGTGTGTGTGTGGTGTGGTGTGTGAGTGTGAGTGTGTGTGAGTGTGTGAGTGTGTGAGTGTGTGAGTGGTGTGGTGTGGTGAGTGAGTGAGTGAGTGTGAGTGATGTGAGTGAGTGAGTGAGTGAGTGAGTGAGTGAGTGAGTGAGTGTGTGAGTGTGTGAGTGAGTGAGTGAGTGAGTGAGTGAGTGAGTGATTGATGATAGTGATAGATAGTAGTAGTAGATGTAGATCAGTGCAGATAGTGTTGCCAAGTCCAATGTGTCCACATTCCAAGAGAGCTTTTCTTTTTGCAGGGGACAAGGCAGTAAGTTAAATAAGTAGTCTATTGATCGTTTTTCATATTGTTACAAAGCTACAGTCATTAAAAGAGAGAAATAGATCCCCCAAATGCTCCGTGGAAAAACGAATCATCTCTTTCCTTCTTTGCATTTTTCTTCATTAAAACAGCATCTCCTTCTAGAAGTGTCTTTGACAGGGTTGGTAGCCCTTGTGTTTGTATATGTTTGTGTCACTGCGTTGTTGGTCCGATATGTAATTGTGGATCCACTCTGTTACAATGTCAGTGAGTGTTTGTTTGTTGCTGGTCCAACAGGTCAGTATCTACTTTGTCACCATGTCAACGAGGATGAAACGTGGGGCTTACGACCACGAGTACCACCACAAACAGAGCAAATATGTGGTTAAAGAGTACAGCAGGTACATGTTACACTGTAATGCTAATCCTACCTAAAAAAATAACAGTAGTATTGTAACAGTAGTGTGGACTAGGTTAATATAGTAAGTTGAACCTGTTTAACATTAAACTAACATCAAGATACTAACTAACACTAAGCTGTCTAAGTTAAACAAAGGCATAATTGTTTTCACAATTACTTCCCCAAGCCAATATTTGACATCATTATGAGGGCTTATCAAAGTACATTTTAATGTTGGATATTGGTATATATAAATGGACATAGGATTAATAGTTTATTTGAATGCACAAGAAGCTTTTAAAACTTTCAAGCAGCAAAAGTCAGATGGTCTTTTCTACAGATACAAAAGAAAACACAGCAGGAAAGGCTTAGCTTTACTAATTTAATCATAGGCCTCTTTGTGAAATGTTTATTAAGTGGAAATAGTTAAAAAAAACGCCTGTAGACACAAATATTTAGCTTGAGGAACCACTGCAGGATGTGTCGTGTTAGTGTTTGTTTGTGTTCTGTGTTTGGGTGATACTTACCACTTAATAAATCTTATTTTTGCTGCTGCTCACTTCTTCTTTTTTTCTTTTTTGCCAAGAAGCAGCTGAGCAGCAAACAGTAGTCTGACCCCATATGAAGTAGTTCTAATTTAACAAAGTGTGGAGTGATGGGTGTTGAATTTCCCTTTACACAGCTTATTGTCCTTTACCAATTCTTATGTCTTTTATTTCAAACTGAGGTAAGTATGCTTGTGTTTTTGTGTGTTGTGTCCCCTGAACTCTGAACGACTGATGACATATACTATGTAACTATTGTATGTTAAAAATATTTCTCGCCAGACTCGATAACAATTCCAAGCACATTTTACCACAAGAAAGGATATTATTTACTTCAAATATTATTTTTCCTGTGTGACAAAGAATGTTTTCACACAGGTTTACCAACTCTTATTATAGAGCAGCACACTGAAATTTGCACGTCACTTGTTTGGCCAATTTGGACGAAGCAACAAATCCTTCAGGCTGCCTCAATGGCTGCCATACCACAACCTGGCATCCACTTGTAACACTATTGGTCTCTTTTAAAATGCAACATGGCTCCTCCAGACTCAGTCCCATAACAATATTCCCCACTCCAACTGCTTTGTCTGTTCCTGCCAGCTCTCAGGATCCTCTGACTTTCTGGAGAGCACTCCACTCCACGTTACAGTGGCAGTAGTGGAATGACATCTGGCCTGGAGGATTTATGGACAACAGTGATGAAACACATAGACTTGAGAGCTTCCCACAGCTGGCTGCGTCCCTCCTGCTGACAATCCGCAGCCCCTTTAGGCAACAGGCCATTTGCCAGCTTCAGTGGCATAGTGCTGAATATGGAATTTGGCTATACACAAAAAAATGGTGTATATCAGCTGATGATGTTCCAATTAATCAGTGTCCTCCTTTTTGAAAGACTCAGTCACCATGTTTTATGACACAAATTGCAGTTATCCTTGTTAAGGAGGCTCAGCGCACAAATGGAGGCAATATTCATGTCAGACATTAGTCACATCTAAAGCTAATGACTGTCCAAAGCTCAGACTGACATGACTTTAACATGGATTGTGAACAGTCAAGTGAAATCCTGTAATGCACGCACTTAAAAAAGCTGTTTGGTACTCAATGGTTCTCTGATGTCTACCCGGTGAGCTTACCTCAGACATTTTTGTTAAGTTGGTGTCGCCTCCACTGCTCACAGAAGAGTCAAAGGTCAGTCAGAGAGGCTTTACTTCTCTGTCTCTACTGTGGAAAGGTCTTGTCTGGCATCCTGCATTCTTTCCATGGAGCAGGTTCACACCATTTTGTCATTTTGTAAAAGCATCAGGCTTCTGTCCCTTAAGATTTTAATGTTTTTCAAACGGAAGAAAAACCTGTGTTAAAAATTACAAATTTAATTTGGGACTCTGGCCTACAATAATATAATATCCACAGGCACAACTGTCCATGTTCCAGCAAGTACTAGGAGGGATTGGTAAATCAATGCTGATTGACTTTACTGATTTTGATTTACTGCTCAGCAGAGAAAAGTGAGACAGCCTCAGAGATGCCAGTGGGCCCCATCTTTGCTCATGGATAACTTTCATCTAAAAGAAAGTCTTAGGCTTCAGTATTTTCACAATTATGAAAACAGCAAGGACGATTTTGGAATCAGATTACAAGCCCTTTCAAGCATTGGATACAGACTGTTGCACATGAAAGCTAACACTCAGCACAGCACCTCTTTGGAGGCTGGTTATTGTATCTGGTAGGCAACTGAATAAGTGAAAAGCCTAAACAGTTACCACGCCCCATACACTGGACATCAGTTATTCTTTCTAATGTCACGTTTTATATATCTTTAACAGTAGGTACATGTTAAAAATCACATCATATATTTAGGAGTTTACTGAATGAACAGACTTTACAAAGAAAACACTGATTGCAAACAAAACTGACTTACTGTTTGTATTTAGTTCTACGGCGATGGAGGAAAGATATGAGCACAAAACACAGTCTCGCATCCAAGAAGTGGTAAGAATCTTTTCCCGTCCAATATTGCTTTGTTTGGGAAAATGTGTGTAATTATCTGTCTAATCTGTTTTTTGATGTAATTAATGTTATTTTGTTGTGTCATGGTACAGTATAGCATGAGTAAGACATTTATATTCATCCGTCTCTTGTAATTGTCATTTCCCTGTGTAGGTAACCTCAAAGATGGGGGACAAATATGTGCGTGAGGAGCCGATGATCAGGGGACCGACGTTCCTAGTCCGACTCAGATCCCACACCGTGTTTGAGAAAACTCCTGCCAAACTCTGCTGCACTGTTGCTGGCTTCCCCTTGCCTTCTGTACAATGGTGAGTAACAATTTAACATCTAAAACAAAAACTTTAAACTTAAAAAGAAACAAAAATTGTAAATATATATATTTTTTATTTCATGAGAATGGGTTGCCTTGCATATTTTTTTCTTCTTCTAGATATGGTGCTAATTTTTGTTGTCAGGAAATGTTACAGAAATTGCTGCTGAAAATGTCTTCTATGGTCCCACACGTCTCTATGCTGGTGAGCAGTGATTTCTCTCTATTTCAGGTATAAAGACGGCTCGATCCTGGGCATGTCCTCGGGGCAGTTCCTCATTGAAGCTAAAGGTGGAATCCATACTCTGGAAATCCCAAGGTGCATTAATGAAAGACTTAAAGATTATTTGAAAGGTCGTAGAGGTAGTGAACATTTGATGAGCTTGTTCCCAATTTAGAGTGTCACTCCTCCAATTCAATATTCAAACATTTAAAAGACAACCTGCATGACAAACTACAAATATTATTTTTTTACATTACTTTTGCAAATCTCCCAGCTTCATGTTATAACAATAGTAATGCAACTGATTAACAATGCAGGTGTCAAACTATTTTAACTGTTTGTTCAATGCTTTTTATGAAAGGAAATCCATTTCATATTTTAGTTTATTTTGTGAGAAACTGTTTGGTAACTTCAATAATCCAAATGACTGTTATTAAGTAATCTCATCTCTTCACATGGTTTGTAATTATGGCTCACTGCTAAACCTAACTATTCATGACACTTGCCCACTTTGGCCAGTGACTAGCTTATCACCAGGACTGTGTATTGAATCATCAGAAAATCTTTCCTGTCAGTCCCATTAGGGTCACCACACATATTCAAACTAGAGTAGTTACGTCAGAGTCAGCTGACCGACTCGCCCCAGTCTAGGAAGCTCAGCTGTTCCCAGTGCTGACCTTAGTGCTACGTGATCCTGCGGGATTCTTCCAGTCATCACTCTCTGCTTGGATCCAGTCACCTTAAGCTCCTTCTGTCTGTTACTAACACACAGTTCAGCCAACAGCAATTACTCCTCTGAGAAAAATAACTCCCTCCTGAGTTGTCTTAAACTCAAAGAGTGTTAGTTAGATAAATTACATTATCACTGAATGCTCTGTTAATTTAAAAGAAACAGTTTTAGAAATAGGCTGGAATATGTAAGGGGATACATCTCTTTTGAATGACAAATTCCCAGCAGCTTGTCGTCATTTTAAGCCTGGCTCATGACAGTCAGCAAAATGCAGAATCCCAACCCCCCAACTTCTCAGTTATTACAAGATGCCATTCTGTAACTCTTCTCTAACAAGCCTAACCTTCTAAATTCCCCTAAACACACAGTTTCACCGGTGCAAAGTATTCTGTAATTCTAAAAGGATTTTCTGAATGTTATTTTGATTCAAAATAGAATACATTTGGTGCCTTCACTCGGCTACCTGCTGCTACACAGTATTCACTTCCTCCAATAATGTGGAGTCCTCTCCTTATGACTCCAGCAGCCTACGCATTCTGCCAGGCTGGAATTCCAATGTTAGCTGATACTAATGTAATATGAGGTTCTGTAGAAGTTGGTGAGAAGAGCATCAGGAAGGGAAAAGGAACAGAGTGGTTCAGACTGGCCTTCAATGCAGTAATGCATGGCTGCAATGAGACCAAAACATGGCTTTGACCCCTGTAGCAGCCCTATTTTCTCTGCATCTCCCCAACAAGTTTTCAATTTCGGCACCATCTGAGTACAGAACTTGATTCTCTAGATCAGAAGCTTCTGCTATTTGTTTCGGGCTTGCTAGGATTGTAAAACATCCATGGCCTTTAGCTCTGGAGGGAACAAAGGCAGCAAAATGTCATGTAAATATGATTCAGAGGAAGCATTCATAAGAGACAGAGAAGGTGATGTAACTCATCCTGCAACTTGTAAAATAAACCCTATGTGAAAATGTTTTAGAAATGTAAACAATTGTCTTTAAAAAAAAAACCTGTCATCTATTCTGTCCTACTGTATGTGAGAGCAGGGCTTTACTCTCTATTGACTGTGCCCACTCAGCTGCTGATTATCCCCGGCAACATAATGCACTCATGTGGGAAATGATTGCTCATTTGATGTATTAGTTTCATACACCCAGTAAAAGCTAATCCCCCCTGGCACTAGCTCAGTGGTTTACAGTAAGTCCTGTAGGAGCAGATCCTTGTGGGAATACAGTACATCTGCCATGAAGGCATTTCCCATGTTTTTACAGATGATTATAAACATTACTAAAGACTCACATACACACCTAAGGCTGTGCTAGGATAAAACCCTGACTCATGGATGGTGTTATTTACATCTGTAGGCTGTTCTAAAAATACATGTAGTCTATGCAAACTTGGAAACTTGTGTGTTATTGTGCATTCATAGATGCTCCACTGATGATACGGCCCAGTACACCGCTGTGGCCTGTAACAGCCATGGACAGGCTTCTAGTCTGGCCTCCGTCATCGTCAAGAGTAAGTCCTTCTTTCTGATCACCCTGTATCTGATATGTTGTGATGTTTATCATACAGTCACGCCAGAACATGCTAGTGACACTGAATGCATTTATGTCAGATGTGTAAAGTTCACGCTTGAGCTAATTCTGAATGTAAAAAAAACAAACAAATAATTGTCTCGTATTTTATTTCTGAGTATACCTGTATTCAACCTCTGTCTTAAAATGCTCTGTTTTAGTGTATGTCCCTAAAAGCTATGTCTACTTTTATTTGCAAATGTAGTTATTTTGGGGTGGAGATACTCAGATGTGGGGAGGTACAGTATATATTTTAATGAGCCTGGATGTGACATAGATACATAGGCGTGTTGAATCCCATGTTTTCTGACCTAGGCAGCCTGAACATATTTGTCTGGGTTGTTTTATTTCAGTTTGTGGTTTAATAGGCACTCCACATTCCCAAATGTTTTTGTTCAAGCACTGAAAAAGGAAGCTTTTACAAACATGTCACCTTAAACTAACATGCATTTATTTTTTGGACACGATACCGTTTATGTTGCACTTGTTGCAGGACTCAATTTGACACGGCTGAACTTTCTAACATCATCTAGTGATTGTTCAATTCACAATAACTGGAATTTCATAAACAACCCATTTATTTATTATTTATTTGATCATTTATAATTTATTCTACTATTTTCAACAATTAGAGAGTTTATACATCCAAAAAACAAACAAACTTAGTAGAAGTGGGAGGGCATAGCTTATACAGGAGTAGCCCTCCCGTTAGTCATCCAGTTGCAGGATAAAGTAAAAAAAGATAATTCCGTAATTAAATACTCACACAGATAAACACAATTGTATATATACATACACATACATATGTACACATATATTTACTTCAATTAGATTGGCTACTTCAGGCTGTTATTCTTCCTTTACTGCCCTTACTTACCATTTGTCTGCTTATTCACCAATTTTCTTATTCTTTATTTTTACAAATTGCTACTGTTAATTATGATGACTTTTTTAATCATGTAGGGTTCAAGGTGGAGGAGGAGATCAGCTCATACGCTTGGTTGCCTTACACAGGTAAGCATCATAATTACCTCCAGCTCCCTCTTAATATGTCCAGAAATTACTGAAGATGATTACTAGGCTGTAAAAGGTTTCTCTATTAAAAGTGGTGTGTACAAAAATAAAAAGATAGCACCAGCCCCACTCATCGCAACTCTTTTCTTCATTTTCCCCATCCATCAGCTGCCATGCTTCCCAAGATCCAGTACACTAAAATCAACATCACTTTCCTGGAGAAGTTTGGGCCAGTGTTTGCCACCGAGGGAGATTCTGTCACTCTGACTGCCACCATGACCCTGAGCCCCAACCTGGCCAACCTGCAGCCCGATGCACAGTGGTATAGAGATGGTAATTATTATAAAAAAGCAATTTATGAAAACCTAATTACCCTTTAATTGCTGGTAATATATACTGTCTGCCAACGCGACTACCAGACCCAATCTAGTGGACAGCCGGAGGCCCATCAGTGGAAAAACGGAATATGTTACGGAGAGATTTTCATTGCTAATTCATTATAGTAAAGTAGTTAAATAGACTAGCAACTTAATTTAATTTGCTGTGTCCATAGACATTACTTAAAAAGGTACCATGAGGGATACAAATTCTTAATAAGTTAACCTTTTTATATTAAAAATCATGATATGCAGTCAGACCTCATGTTTAATTCATAAACATATTTCTACTGTGGAATGGAGGTTTCTAAGAAGTATGCGTAAAGGGACGCTGAATGTATGATCCTGTCTGCTTTCCAGACACGCGTCTGTCTGACTCTAAGTGGGTGAAGATCGTCACCGGCAGAGGCATCACCTCCCTGACTATCCCAACCTGTTCAAAGACGACGAAGGCCTCTACACAATACGCATGGTCACTAAAGGAGGCACCGCCGAACATGGAGCATTCGTCTCTGTCTCAGGTAACCAAAACCTACACTGTGGTTTTATTGAATTGAACCCTTTTACTTGTTTAAATATATATTGCTTACTTATAATATGATTACTAAAATGTAACTGTGTCACTTCCTGTGTAGATGGGCCTCCCCCAATCGCCGGTGCACCCGGTGCTCCTATGGATATTAAGATCCACGATGCCAACAGGGACTATGTCATTACGTCATGGAAGCCCCCAAATACCACCACAGAGGGACCAATCCTGGGATACTTTGTGGACAAGTAGGAGTTACTATTTTGAAGCATCAATAAAAGATAAACTGACTGACATAAAGCGTGATTCCTGGAAGTAATCACATAGTTTGCTTGACTGTCTGTACAATGGAAGGGTTTCTGTCCTTAGGTACAGAGAGTCTTTTCTTTTTCTCTATACCGAATACTTTTTCTGTACTTCTCTGTCAATTTTCAGCTTTATTTTTAAACTCCTTTTTTGATTTGACCTGTCTTTTTACATTTTCCTTTTGTAGATGTGAGGTTGGAACTGAAAACTGGACCCAGTGCAATGATCACCCCATAAAGATCTGCAAATACCCCGTGCCCGGGCTGTTTGAGGGGCACTCGTACTACTTCAGAGTCCGAACCGTCAACTCTAAAGGAGTCAGCAAAGCCTGCCGCATCTCTGAGCCCATCGCCGCGCTGGACCCCACTGAGTTTGAGAGGCTGCATGGTGGGTGTAGCTGGATTAAAAAGAGACATTTCATCCCTGTTTTTTATATTTCATCATGTAAAGAAATATGTGTCCTGTCGTGAAAAATGTCACTGCTGTTCTGGTAAGTTTGGATGGGCTGAAGTTAAGTTGCTTTGTATGTCGGCGTAAAGCAGCTGTAGTATAGTTATGATGATACTTGAAGACTGGATCTCTGAAGTATAAAAGGTTTAACATTGTGTTTAAATGATTGTGTTTTAAAGATATGCTCTTTAATGGTCAATGCAGTCCTAAACATGACTGGTCCATCTGTCACCACTGATCGAAAACTAACTAAAAAAAATGATATGTGATGAACAGTCATTTTTGCCTTACAGTATGTAACTGTCAAGATGAACAATGAGTTATCAGTTTAACTTTAAAAGACATTTAAAGCAGATAGGTAACAATGTTTTTGTTATCCTTTAGCCAAAAGACTTGGAGGAAACCTGGATGTTGTGTCTTACCATGATGAAGTTGAAGGTGAGTTTTATCTGAAACTGACACGTAGCTCTATCTGTTACAATTATTTCTATAATTTCCTTCAAGTATTGTTTTGAGTAGGTGAAACATTCTGTGTCTCACTGTGGATGTGAACCATCCGTGTGTGTGTTGTGTTTCTGTATAGCTGAAGGGAAGCCTCCGGGTGCTGCTTCAGGGATGTACGCCTCAGAAACCGACAGGACTTATGTTGTTTTGAGCTGGAAGGCACCTGTGTATTCCAGCAAGGCTCCCATGTGGTACTACATAGAAAAGGTAACAAACAATGTGACACCACTGCTGCTTGGAGTACTAACATACTACCTTGCCAGTACTGCATGTTCTTCTGTGTGTGATAGCCCTTACCTACTAAATAAAGCGATGAAGTTGGAATTCAGGCATTTCACCTCGTTTGCACATTTGTTTTGGCCCCTTTCTCTAGTGGTAGAATAAAAACCAGGATTACCTAATAGTTTATTCATTACCTATTCAAATTAAAATAGTTTGAATTGGTGGATTGTATGTGTGTATGACAATGAATTCTGTAAACATCTATAACAATTTCCCAATTTGGGATCAATAAAGTACTATCTATCTATCTATCTATCTATCTATCCAACAATTTAAATAAAATGTTAGAGCTGACTTTTGTGTTAAACACATTCACATCGCTGTCAAAGAAACAAACATATATCCAATGCTGTACATGTATAAGTTAATATAAGCTTCTAATACTGTGGAATACATTGAGTTCCAAGTGCAATAAAACACTTATGATCAACTGCACTAGGACAGACTATTGGGAACTGACTGTATTCATCTAAACAATTATTAAAGATCTCAAATAAAGCCAGGCTAAAATGAAGCAAAACATGTCATGATTAATGTGTGAAGCTCTACTAACAGCAGGTCTAATCTCTCCCTCTCCCCCCAGAGCCTGGCAGACAGCGGTGCGTGGCAGCGCGTCAACACTCAGGTTCCTATCAGATCTCCCCGTTACGCCGTCTTTGACCTCGCAGAGGGCAAACTCTATCAATTCAGAGTTGTGTCTGCTAATATCTATGGAGCCAGTGCGCCGTCAGAGCCCACCGGCCCCATCCAGACTCAGGAACTCAAAGGTTTGTTTCTTTTGACTATTACGCAGATGTTGAAAGCAGTTGAGTAAATCACAAATAACCTGCTCTTGTGTTTATTAATCAATTATATTTTTCATCATCAATGGTTATATTTTAAACAATATTTTGTTGTTCTCAGGTGTGCCATCTGCTCCCGGTCAGGTGATTTCTACCAGGGAAACCGACACCTCTGTCCTCATTCAGTGGGCTCCTCCCAAAGAACCCAACAATCTGATTGGCTACTACATCGACCAGTGTGTAAAAGGGTCCGCAGACTGGACTTCGGCCAATCACAAACCTCACAAGAGCACCAAGTATGTTTCTAATAAAAGATTGTCTTTCTTTAATTGTTAAAGTGTAGGAAAGCACTTCTCATGCCCGTGTTTCTGTTGCAGGTTCGTGGTCAGTGGCCTGACTAAAGGACAGACCTACGTGTTCCGCGTGCAGGCCATCAATGAGCTGGGCCTCAGTGACGAATCCCAGGAGTCCGCTCCTCTGACTGTTAAGGCTGCCCTCAGTGAGTATCCGCCTATTTTTAATCACTATTAATGATGAATGAAAATGATAATAATCTACTTGTTGCTGCACTGTAATGATAAGGATAATTGAAAGTTGTGAAGAATTGTTATCGTAATTATTAGCACTAATTCAGCACTACCTTTTTTCAGCCGCCCCCTCTGCTCCTTACGACATCGCATTGCTGAACTGTGACGGCCACTCAGTGGTTCTGAACTGGAAGAAACCCACTCACAATGGAGGATCAAGCATCAAGGAGTATTATGTGGACAAAAGACGCAGTGGAGCCACCGTGTGGAGAGAGGTTCACATCCCACCAGTCACAGAAAGACTTTATAAGGTACATGTTTGCATCTATCTGTTCTGAAAGCAGTGGTTCCCAACCTTTTTCCTTATTTTAACTGCAGACTTTTCTAATGTAGGAAGAGCTTGTGTGACAAAGAGTGACAGCTCTGGGAATCAGAGTTTACTTTAATTAAATGTAATATTTAATATTATTCCAAACTTTATAAATGTAATTTAGTTTTCTTCACAGACATTCTAAAACTACTATGAAGGCCAGAAAAAGTTGCATTAAACTCCTTAGAATCAAACTGCCTCGTTAACCCTCCAGAAACTTTGGCGACCCCCCCATGGTGGTCCCAAATCCCCAGGTTGGGCATTAAGTGTCTCAAAACGCCAATGACCTGAAGAGGGAACAACATGTTTAAACAGTAATTGAAATACCTGGATGGACTTGTGTGAATCTGGAAAGTGACTTTAGTCATTTTATTTGTGATAATGATGATTGGCATGTTGGTAACCATGGTACTCTGCTTGACAGGCTGAGGGCCTGACGGAGGGAGCCGTCTACCAGTTCCAAGTTTATGCAGCCAATCTGGCTGGCCTGGGACCAGCGTCCAAACACTCAGCCGACATCAGCTGTGAGGCCTGGACCATGCCGGAGCCTGGTGAGTGCCATCCTCTGATCGCATGGTCACTGGCAAACTGTAAAACCAGAAAAAACACGAAGCATATCCAAGTTTGTTGAAACCATGCTCATGTCTTCCATATATCCTTGAGAATAAGATGGAGAGAGTGTAAGTTGTTAATAAAATGTCCACACAATCAGAAATGTAAATGTGGATTTGACTCTGTCTCTCATTCTGTGTCCTTTAGGCCCTGGCTATGACCTGACCTTCAGTGAAGTGAGAGATAGTTCAATGTTGGTTGAGTGGAAAAAGCCTGTCTATACTGGCTCTGGATCAATCACAGGATATCATGTTGAGTACGCCAAGAAGGGCACTTCTGATTGGACCACAGCCAATGAGACGGCTGCCAGTCACCGCTTCCTCAAGGTGAGAGCATCTTTAGAAATGATCCATTGGTATATATTTGAGGTATTTACCAGTATGATTATTTATCTGAAATATTTTTCTTATAGTATGTCAGAACATTGCAATTTGACACTAAAGTTATCTAGAGATGAAAACAGTAGAACAATTAATTATTTATTATTAATTTAAATGTGATAATGACAGATTCTTTAAAGAAAATACTCGTATATCTATAATCCCTAAACCTACACTTTTGTTTGCCTCTGCTAGTTTCCTATTGTTTGCCGTGATATTATTTTCAAACTTCCACACATTATGCCTTGTGTTCCAGCTCTTAGTGTTTTATTCTCCTATTGGTCAATGCTGTAATGCACCTACATTAAACTGTGTGACACTGACATCTAGTGGCTAAAGTAAGTAGCTGAGTTAAGAAGATAGATGGATTTTGTTGGTCAAAGAACGAACAAAGAATATTAACCAGCCTAAATAAAAAGCTGCTGTAGCTGATGAATCTCAGAATGTGCTGCTAAATAAATCACGTTACATATATACAACAGTTTCTGATTATATGAAAAAACATGCTGCAAGAGCGTAAATGTTTTAGTTTTGATTGATTTAATTGATTATTAACAAACAATTAATAAAACAAATAATTTATAACAATTGAAATGTTGACACACACCAAATTTTGAATATACAGGTTCTTGAACACAACCAATATAAATAGTGTATTAATATGGTCCTACCCTTCTCTATAACTAATTTAACTAAATATTTGTCATATAAACAAGTCATAAACATCTACCCTAATACCCATTGAGTGTAACCTAAACAATTGCCTAACTTTTATCCTACCTCGTCGTATTCATATTCTGTACAAACTGTAAATTCCACTGAGACAAATGTCAATTTGTGATATCGGGCTATATAAATAAACTTTGATTGATATATGTCAGTTATTGTACCTGTCAAATGTGCCCAAAGTGAAGAAAATCAAAGCTTAACTCTTTTCACCAACACTTGCTTTTTTTCTTGTCTCTTCGTTTCCTAGGTAACAGGTCTGGAGGCGGGCACTAGCTACGTGTTGAGAGTGCGTGCGGTCAACGCTGCAGGAGTGGGAATGGCGTCAATGGCCTCTGATCCCGTCACTGCCCAGGCTGTGGAAGGTAACTTTCATTCAGCAACAGTGGGAGATCATCAATGTTTGAAAAAGGCCTCTCTTTGAACACAAACAACAGAGTCAACACGGCTCTGTTGGAATCATGCACTCTTTCAAAGCGCTGCAGGCGAGATGAAAGTGAGGAGTGGAGGAGACGGTTTTTAGAGAAATTCTGAAATATAAAATCAACAGACATTTCCTTCTGAGCCTGATTTGTGTGGTTTATAAAGATAACTCTCTTAAACAAGGCCCGGCCCCCCCACTGACACTTTACCTCAGCCACAACGCAGACTCTATACGCATTACATTAATGCACACAATGTATAATTTGCTTACTGTACATATTTTATATTTCATTTTATTTATAATTCACTGCATTCTATTTCGTTGTAAATTACTGCTTTATTTTATTGCTATCTTACTATATTTGTATTACAGTGTTCTTAATATAGTTCGCTATCTGTGTACTTTAAAAAAAAAAATTGTTTTATATTTGATGTATGCACCATGACGTCAAGTCAAATTCCTCGTACGTGTGAACCTACCTGGCAATAAACCAGTTTCTGATTCTGATTCTGATTCTGTGTGTCTCCGTGTCTCCAGGCTCCCAGGAGGTGTCCTGTGTTGTGGACGAGAAGTCCGGCGACATTGTTCTCTCCTTTGAGTCCTGCCAGTTGAACGAGGGCTCTCAGTTTGCCTGGAAGAAAGATTATAAAGAAGTTACAGATTTCTCCAAAGGAATAGTGATTAAGACCGAAGGCAGCCAGTAAGACCACACACACACACACACACACACACACATTTGTATTTACACGTGAACATTTGGATACTGTAGAAAAAGTGCCTTTACCGTGCTTCATGTGTGTTTCTGTGTCACTCCCCTTCATTGCAGTTCTAAGCTGATCTTTAAGAACGCGGATAAAGAGGACTTTGGGACGTACTCTGTTTCTGTCACCAGCACCATGGGAGTGTCTTCCAGCCACACCATCACTACTGAAGGTACTTCTTAATAACAATCAGTGTGTAGGTGTTGCTCTTGTGCAACCCAGCCAAACTCTGACTTTCAAAAATGTACAAATATCCAGTACAGAAAGAAATGACTGCAACATAAATAATGCATACATTGTGTTTCAGTTATTTACTAAATAGACAGATAAT